TGGCAGCAGCAGCGGGGTGATGGGGCTGGTGCTTCCCCCAATCAGCCCAGTCACCTCCCGCAGAGGGAGGCCAGACTGCGGCTTAGGCCTGCTCCCCACAGGCCTAAGCCGTCAGTAGGACATCTCCTGAGGGCTTCCAGTCTGTGAGAGGGGGCAGGCTAGGCTGAGAGACGCCCCACCCCCCAGTGCACGAATTTCGTGCACTAGGCCTCTAGTTGAATATAAATTAATTAGGTTATAATTAATATAGTAAATGGAAAATAGTGACCATTAGCCTCAAGTGCAACATCTCATATTTATAGGAGGATCCTAAGCTTAAGCCTTAGTTGCTGAAAGCATTATAATTTACACAAATTGATCACATTCCTCTCTCCTAAGTATCTTAGTACAGAGGAAAACCTTAGGAAAGGCCACCATCACTGATACTATGTTTCCTCCGCTGATAGCCTCCTATAGCCTTGATAAAATGAGTGTAATGGTAAACTGAAGTTAATATATTTTCCTATTAAACTTAAAACCAGCCCTAGCTGTTTCGGCTCAGTGGATAGAGCATGAGCCTGTGGTCTGAAGGGTCCCAGATTTGATTCTGGTAAAGGGCACGTGCCTCAGTTGCAGCTGGATCCCCAGCCCTGATAGGGGCACATGGTGGAGGCAACCAATCGATGTGTCTCTCTCACACTGATGTTTCTCTCTCTCTGTCTCTCCTCTCCCTTCCACTCTCTAAAAATCAATGGAAAAATATCCTCGGGTGAGGATTAACAAATAAAATGAAATAAAAGACAATAAACTTAAAACCAAAGTCATTTATCTAGAGCTAAAACCTTCAGAATTCCATGTGGTAGCTCTCCTCAAAATGTATTCAGTAAAGTGTTCATGGGCATTTAGCAAAAAAGTTTTATGATCATTGCAATTCAATCAGGGTCATCCCAACATAATTTTTAAGACTTTCACAAGGTGATTCCAAAGTTCGTCTGAATGAATAATGCAAAATGATCAATTATTTGAAAATAAAATTTTCTTTCTGAGGCTGGATGTGTTGTCTGTTACTGTTATATTGTTTTTAATATAAAACAAAGATTATGATGTGGAAGTACTGGCTGAGTCACAGTATATTTTTAAATTGTAATTTCTACTGCAGATATACACCCCCCCGCCACACACTCACTTTAAAAAACAGAACAGAGAAAAAACAACCCTGTAGGTTGCTTAGTGTAAAAAAAAAAACACATACACACAAAAAAACAGGACAGAGTATATGAAAACCAGGCGTTCAGACAATGGACAAAAGGTAGCACAGGACAGTGGGCCCTCAGGGCAGTAAAACAAACCAGATGACCCCTAGGGCTGTGCATAGAATGTCCAGGACACAGAGCACAGCGGGGAACCCAAATACAGCCCAAGGGTCTAAGTTGAGAAGAGAGAGTTGAGAATGCCAGGAAGCCAAAGGTAGTGTGCTAGGGGCAGGGGCCGACAAAAAAGAATTACTAAGTAGCCTGAGGGGCAGGGATCATGGGAGAGAAAAATTGCTAATTATCTCGCTAAAAAAACAATGTGTTATGATTGAACCCAGCCAGGTGTGACCCTGCTCCTAAATTCTATGTAAACTTTTTACCCTGCCAGTACCAGGAATGCTAATGAACCGCTTCGCAGTTTGTTTTTTCTTTTTTAAAAAAAAGACTTTGTAGTGTTGCAGATAAAGGGTCTTGCTGTACTCTTGGTCTGCACTGCAAGCTGTGGGCTCTTACGGGAAGGACACGGCTAGCAGTCAGCTGATCAGCTTAATAAAGGCTCTTAAAATTTTAATTCTGAGGCGGTGGTCTATCTCGCTGAGCTAACCCGTAACAGTAGCTAGGATTCTCAGGCAGATACTGCAGAACAAGTGGCCACACAAAGAACTCCAGAATTCCGCAGTGGTTTCCCCTGAATCTCCACATGATCAACGTAAGCATGTAAGGACACTACCAGAGGCCAAGGAATGAATCATTGGAAAACTAAAGGAGAAACCACCCCTAGAGCTTACACAGGGCCAGGAAGAGCTCCATAGTGGAAAAACCTCATAATACATGGGCACGCAGCAGAGTACTCAGAGAGGCATTGATTTCTTCAGTAATAGGGAGAAAAATTAGCCCTTGTCTAGAAAGGCTCAATAAAGCAAGCCTCAAAAGAATCAAAGTCTTTCCAACTAACTTATCTGGAACTACACTCAAGACTATATAAAGGAATGCAAAAATATTCAGTATTTAAGAAAGCAAAATTTACAATGTTTGCCATCCAACCTAAAATCATCAGACACCTGGCCTGGTAACTTAGTTGATTCGAGCATCGTCCTGATATGCCAAGTTTTGGGGTTCCATTCCCAGTCAGGGCACATATAAGAATCAACCAATGAAGGCATGAATAAGTGGAGGAACTATAAATTGATGTTTCTCTCCCTCTCCCTCTCCTTTTCTCTCTCTAAAATCAACTAAACAACAAAAAAGTTATAAAAAGTATCAACAGGCACCCTAGCTGGCTTGGCTTAGTGGATAGAGTGTCAGCCTGCGGACTGAAGGGTCCTGGGTTCGATTCCAGTCAGGGCACATGCCCGGGTTGCAGGCTCTATCCTCAGAAGGGGGCGTGCAGGAGGCAGCTGGTCAATGATTCTCTCATCATTGGTGTTTCTGTCTCTCTCTCCCTCTCCCTTCCTCTCTGAAATCAATAAAAATGCATTATATATATATATATATATATACTCAATATCATCAGGCAAGCAAAGCGGCAGGAAAAGGACTCATAGTAAGCAGGGAAAAACAGCTAACAGAAACAGACCTAAAAATGACAGAAGTTAGAATGAGTCAATGAGGAAATTAAATCAGTTATTCTAGCCTTTAGTACAAGTTGATAGAGGAAGTATGAGCATGTTAAGGAGAGATCTGGGAGATGTAAGACTAAATCAAATTTCTAAAGATGACAAATTCATTGAGTGGTATTAATAGATTAGACATAGGAAGCAGCAGAAATGTAAACACCCACAGTAAATAACTGTCTAAAATGAAGCAGAGAAAGAAAGGTGGGCCAGGAGGGAAAGGACAGAGCCAACGAGGGCCCTGATATTTGTAACAGAGATCTCCAAAAGGAGACAACAGAAATATTTGAA